AACGGGTTTGTCAGGTTGTTTTTCAATTACTTCAATGCTTGTTAGTTACCTCAATCGTTGATGACTTGGTGTCGATGTGACCCGTACTTACGCTTCTTTTGTTTTATCGGTTGATAACTAGGATTCACAATAAGCTTGTGATTAATCACTTCTGGAGGGATTCCCATCATGTACGTGTGTGACCGTGCAAAGCAGTCAGAGTCGTCATGCATGAACTCGATCAACTTGCACTTTGGATCAGGGGTAACCCTAAGCCAATGTAAATCTTCCTTTCTGGCCAATGTATAAAGGGAAGAACTTATACTAATTCTTTGGTGGCTGACTTTGTAGCATAAGTTTCTCCTAGTTCAACAATTTTGTTCTCACACATGTCGATATTCGATTCGGAGTCGCGTGCCTTGAGTTCTTCTAGCACGTTCGCGGTACCAGATGACCATCTTGCTTTAGTTGCTATTTAGGTGGCTCCTCTCTAGGGTTGCTCCTTTCCACTGCTATAGTGTTGATTTCTCTGGATGCATGTTGCTCTTCTTGGATTTGTCGAATTCCTCACTTGGATGAGAATTTTATCACTTGATGTAAGGTTTAGGGAACCACGTCCATCTCATGAATCCAAGGCTTTCCTAGGATGGCTTTTTTAAGCCATGTCTCCTCCTACCACCTGGAAAGGGATGTGTTTGACCACTACTTCAGCATTGGTCATCAAGATTACTTTTCCCATGGTAATCTTTCTTGAATTATTGAACCTCGAGAATAACCATACCTTAGGGATAACTTGACCCGTGATCTCCAACTCTTCTAGCACTCACAGTTGGACAATATTTGCTGAACTACTTGAATAAATCAAAACTTTTCTTACGTCGGTGTCAAATATTTGTAAAGTGCTTAACAGTACGTCGTTATGAGGCATATTCAGGCCATGAGCATCCTCATTGTCAAATACTATGCTTTCTATGGTCAGTGTTTGACGCATCCGCTTGTCATGGGAAATGGATATCTTGGTGAATTTCTTTGCTGTAGTAAAAGTTACTCCGTTTACTTCTTCTCCTCCAAATATGACATTAACTATTTGTTTGGGGGTACCTGTGGAGGCTCCTCCTTGCTTCTACTTCATGTAAGACAAGTTTTCCTTTTCACTGAATAGTTCGATCAAGTATCCTTATTTGAGTATACGGTGACTTCTCCTTAAAGAAGCCTGTATTCGGAGGTCTTGTGTCCGTGGTCATTATGGATTTACACCAGAATTCCTGGCTCTGGTTGGTTGGATCCATTTACATCTCCTTTGGCCACCTTACTTTGTCTCCCATGTCTTTGAGGGCTGCTACTAACTCTGTCTTTTTTATGCCGAAGCCGTAATCCACAAGTTTCGATCTAAGGTGGTAGTCACTAATTTTGGATATTTCAGGTTCCTTGTCGACTCGACATGTGATCACTTCATCTCCTCTACCATTAGTCCTCTAGTCTCGAGCGGGTCTTTGTCTGTTGATCGATGTCTTGCCGCATGGGTCTTGGATAGGCTCATGTTGTGTTCTAGGATCCCGACGTCTAGGTTAATCTCGTCTGTGAGGTACGCCTAGTTGTCTGCCATATATGGCAGAGTCTCTTCCATCAAATCTGGGAAGCACCAAGATGTCTTCCTCTATTCTGAGTTTTGTGTTGTACTGGTGGTACACTTCATTCGAAGTTTTTGCGAGAAATTCTCGCAAGCTTTCCTTTAGCCTCCTCAAAGCTTCCGAACTCTCTGGGTTCAACTTCCTAGTGAAAGACATGGCTGCCTAGTTGTTTTCCACTTCTGGTAGTAGCATCCTTCACCTCTGGTATCGATCGATGAAGTTTCAAAGCGATTGCGTCCTCTTCCGTATGAATTTGAAGATATATTCCACTTGCTTCTCCACTTTTTGTACTCGAAAATGGGCTTTGACGAAAGTATCTGCAAGTTCAGCGAAAGAACTAATAGAATGTTCGGATAAGTGAGAATACCAAGTTAGGGCTCCTTTCATCACTATTTCTCCAAACTTTTTAAATAGTACCGATTCGATCTCTTCCTTTGTGAGGTCATTCCCTTTGATTCCAGTTGTATATGTCATGATGTGGTCACAACGATCCCAGGTGCTGTCATACTTTGGATTATCGGGCATCTTAAACTTTTTTGAAATTGGCACCGGGGCCGCGCTGGGTTTTCATAGCTATTGCGAATACTTGTTTACATTGGTACCTTTCACGATTGCTGATACTCCCAGAATTTGTTAACTTCTCTCGTTCTACACCTTGACTTGCCTTATGCAGGGTTAGAATTGTATTTTTTCCATTCAGCATTCAAGGTCATACCTGGGCATCTGGCTTCAGCATCCTTGGAAGTTCTCGAACCGCTGCATGTGTCGTTTTTGAGACTGGGGCCCCATTAGCGACATCAGTTCTTAGAGGAGTTAGCGTCATCACTATTGCTCCACTCGTCCAAACTTTCAGGGGTTCTCCAATCTGGGTGTTCAACTTCTGCTACTCTTACATGAAATTGTCTATCTTTTTCTCCAGCCCGCGGACATCAGGGTGGCTGTTGCTGGATCTGGCCGGAGATTCATTTCGACCTCGAGGTGTGGTGGATCTAGTAGATCGGTCGTCGGCGGTTCGAGTCCCCTCAGATTGTTCAACCTCCCGTCCGATGACGTTCACATTGAGTTTGTTGACTCCAGACATGATGATTAATTTCCTTTAAATAGATAATTGAAAAAGTGATGTTTTCAAAAATTTCAAGGAGAACTCAATAATGAATTTTGGATCGAAAGCTTAATTGTCAGGGCTCCAGGATGGTTGCCATACCATTTGACCCAAAATCTGTTTTTTGAATAAACAATTAAATTTGTAGTTTAGAGTCTCAAGCAATTGTTTCGATCCAAATTTCGGGCAAGAAAACTAATAACGAATTAAATTAAATAAAATCAATATTAAAAAAAATCTTATTATAGACGAGCTCCAGTGGGCCGTATTGGCTACAAGGTGAGCAAACTTTGCAAATTGAAGACATAATTAAAAAAAGAAGATGACTGATGACTTGATATTGCATTCTTTTTCTCTTTGTTTTTTCGGTGCCCCATTCTCGAGGCAGGAGGATGGTTTTTATAGCTTTG